ACCTATTATCCATTCCTAATGAAATTACAAGTAATCTTAAACCCCCGCTAATGTACCTGTGTACATTGCTTCTGTATATATGCAATAAACACCTTCCATTCTTCCTTAAATTCATTATATCTCTTCCTCTTAATTTCACCATCAGACCTGATCTACATCCTATACCCTTTTTAAAATGCTGGCTCTTTTCAATGTTTGTTTTATTGGGTTGTTGTTGGTATTTTCATTTTATGTATGTGCTCCTTTCTGTCCAAACTCTACCTGAAACACCCAAGAAAGATGAGTCTATCACCTTCAAAGGCAGTGTTGCATGCAGTAAATACAGGAAATAACAGAAAACGATGCCTTCTTCCATCCTTACTCCCAATTGAAAGTGTTTCTTTTTAAGGAAAAGGAAAAGAAAGACAAAACATTTATGCTACATTTCAGTCTCTGTCTGCTTTGGATGCACTTCCAGGAAGCAAACCTCTTAACGTCAGGTATCGTTATTAGGCAAATAACAGTTAATGGCTGTATCGTATGGCTCTCTGTGTTCTCAGAACCCGCTAATAGAAGATGAATCCATAACTTTTCAGTAGGAAAGGAAAGCACCATACCAGGTAAACTGTTTTGAAGCTGTTTTGGGGGGATGGAAATTGCTCTCCTCCTAGACAAATAGCATTGAATCTATTGCTAAATGAATGAAATAGCTTCTCAGCATCAAGTCCTGCAAGGGGCTGGGTATCAGAGGTGCAGATTGGATGTCAGTGTCCTGAGTCTGTTGCCAGGGAACAGCCCCTGTGGGGGGTGGAGAGGGCAGAGCATTCAGCAACCACTGAAAATCTCATTTTTACGTGCAGCCCCATACATTGACATTTTAAGAAGCAAGTCAAGTGGTGGTGGTGGTCAGGATGGTGTGGTTAGTAGTGAGTGTAATAGCCCAGAGTTTGCCACCCCCACTAGCCCCCATTATCTGGAGTAAAGCTCCTTGAAAACAATGAGACTTACACGTTACAGGAGCCAGAATCTAGTACCAAAAGGGTTTTAGAATTGATTCAAGAATTTGGTCAAGTCGCAGGATTTAAATTGAATAAGGTAAAAACTAAGGTTTTAGAGAAAAATTTAACACCAATAGAGAGAGAGGTTTCAGAATGAGACAGGTTTAACAGTGGTTAAGAAAGTTAAATACTTGGGGATTAACTTGACAGCAAAAAATGGGAACTTATTTAAAGATAACTATGAAAAATGTTGGGCTGAAGTGAAAAAAGATTTAGAAATTTGGTCAAATTTGAAGCTTTCACTGCTGGGTCGTATTGCTGCCGTAAAAATGAATGTATTGCCTAGAATGTTGTTTTTGTTTCAAACATTGCAAATTGTGGACAAAATGGACTGTTTCAAGAGGTGGCAGAGAGATATTTCTAGATTTGTCTGGCAGGGCAAGAAGCCCAGAATAAAATTTAAAATACTAACAGATGCAAAGGATAGAGGTGGATTTGCCCTGCCAGACCTCAAACTTTATTATGAATCAGCAGCTTTCTGCTGGTTGAAAGAATGGCTGCTTCTTGAAAACACTGACATTTTGGATCTAGAAGGCTTTAACAATGTATTTGGATGGCATGCATATCTGTGGTATGATAAGGTCAAAGCACATAAAGCATTTAAAAACCACATTGTCAGGAAAGCACTGTTTAATGTTTGGATAAGATACAAGGATTTATTGGAAAATAAAACTCCAAGGCGGCTGTCACCGATGGAAGCGAAAGCCTTGAAAAAGCTCAATATGGAGGTCAAATGGCCGAAATATTGGGAAATTTTGGAACAAGATGGAGACAGATTGAAATTGCAGAGTTTTGAAAAACTAAAAAAACAAAGTGCGAGACTGGCTTCATTATTATCAGATAATGGAGGCATACAATTTGGATAAGAAAATCGGCTTCCAGGTGGAAAAATCAAAATTAGAAACAGAATTGTTAGAACCCAAAACTAAAATTTTGTCAAAGATGTATAACTTGCTGTTGAAATGGAATACTCAGGATGAAACGGTGAAATCTGCTATGATTAAATGGGCACAAGACGTTGGACATAATATTATGTTTGCTGACTGGGAACAGTTGCGGACCACAGGTATGAAATTTACGGCATGTAATGCCTTAAAAGAAAATATTATGAAAATGATATACAGGTGGTACACAACCCCAGTCAAGCTTGCAAAAATCTACCATTTGCCTGATAATAAATGTTGGAAATGTAAAGAAACTGAAGGTACATTTTTTCACCTTTGGTGGACGTGCCCAAAGATTAAGGCTTTCTGGGAGATGATATATAATGAACTAAAAAGGTATTTAAATATACCTTCTTGAAGAAACCAGAAGCCTTTCTCCTGGGCATAGTCGGCCAATCGGTGTTAAAAAGGACAGAACTTTCTTTATGTATGCTACAACAGCAGCAAGAATACTCATTGCAAAGTATTGGAAGACACAAGATCTACCCACACTGGAGGAATGGCAGATGAAAATGATGGACTACATGGAATTGGCGGAAATGACTGGCAGAATCAGTGACCAGGGAGAAGAGTTGGTGGAAGAAGATTGGAAGAAATTCAAAGACTATTTACAGAAATATTGCAAAATTAATGAATGTTAGAATGATGTTGGATTGAAGTTAAGTGGTTTCTAGCTGTACAGGCACAAAAGAATATGGAAAAATTGGTTTTTAATATGTAAAATGTAAAATTTAAAGTTACAATATATCAAGATTAAAGATTAGGATTAAAAAGGAGGGAAAGGAATTGTTGGATTAACATATTTAATTAGAATACAAAAGAGGGAGGTAAGAGGAGGTCCGGGAAACAAGTAAACGTAAAAGAAGCGAGGAAAAGATGAAATTGTTTTTAATTGTTTTTTCTTTTTTTACTTTGTATTTTTTCTTTTCATTGTTAACGTTTTCTTTACTAATGTGATTTTTTTTTCCTTTGAAACTTTAATAAATATTATTTTTTTAAAAAAAGAAAAGAAAACAATGAGACTTACTTCCAAGTAGCTATTATTGTCACTTTTTTGTAGGAGTAAAGTAATAGTATTACCGGCCCTTCGCCAGCAGGTCCCCAGGTGGGTCCGAACAATTTACAATTCAGAAATTACCGACAATTAAAACCAATTACAGTTACAAGATCGCACAGTTAAACCAGCAGCTCCCTGATTCTCTGCTCAAAGGAACCTGCCTTATTTATACCACTGGCCTATCTAATTCCATATTGTCTACACTAACTGTCAGCTGCTTTCTGGGATTTTAGGCACAAGTTGATCTCAGCCATATCTGGTATTTCTGGGGCAGTGGTGTAGCATGGAGGGTGGGGCACAGGGGCGGTTGCCCTCAGGGCAAAATTGTTAGGGGGGCAAAATTTCAACACCCGGTGCTGGCTCAAGGCAGCTGTGCACTTCTGTCACTGCACTCCATTGAAAAAAGCTTCTCATGTGAATCAGGAAGTGACCTCCCCAGACAATGGAACAGCTCTTCTTTTCTTATCTCTGTGGCTGCAATCTCTGGGTGATGCAAACGTCGTTAGGCAGCTGAATGTGCATGCAAGCTTTGTCTGTCTACCTCCCTCTCTCCCTCTGCATGGCTCCGGGCACTGGCAACCCACGCTATGTCACTGTTCTGAGGATTGAACCTGAAGCCATTTTTCTCATACCACTAAGCCATGGGTAGGCAACCTAAGGCCCGGGAGCTGGATCCAGCCCAATCGCCTTCTAAATCTGGCCTGCAAATGGTCAAGGAATCAGCATGTTTTTATATGAGTAGAATGTGTCCTTTTATTTAAAATGCATCTCTGGGTTATTTGTGGGGCATAGGAATTTGTTCATTTTCTCTCTCCAAAATATAGTCTGGCCCCCCACAAGGTCTGAGGGACAGTGGACCGGGCCCCTGCTGAAAAAGTTTGCTGACCCCTGCACTAAGCTACAGCCTGCCTTCCTCTTAGCATAGGGATGGGGGAACCTGAGCGCCCCTCCAAGGCATTTCTGGACTACGACTCCAATCATCCCTAATGGTTGGCTATGCTGGTTGGGGCAACAACAGGTGGAGAGCCGCTGGTTCCCTGCCCCAGTCTTGGCCAGTCCCGGCAAAGCTGCACCATGTGATTCTGCAGATCAGCTGCTGCTGCTGTTTTTGAAAAAGAAAAAGAAAGCTTTAGCTGCTGCCCTGCAAAACACTGATCATGCTACAGGGGCAAAAGCAGGCATCCAGGCTCAGACTGCTGGAAACATGATTATTACGAGCAAATGGTGAGCATATTTGAATTCCACTGCATGTCTCAGCTTGCTGCTGTGAGCTAGGAATTTTCCAAAAATGCAGAGGGAGGAAGGGTACAGGGAAAAGGCTGGCTGGCTGATTCTTTTGCAATGACCTTTTAGTGTGCGTTGACAGAGCCTTTACTTTACTGCTGTTCCTATTTGTGATGTGGAGTCACTCTCCCAGCAAAAGGTAAATAAGTCTCCCAGATCAAGAAAGTCAGGGTTGGAAATTTGCATATGTGATAAGTGATGCATTCTCCAGCACATATAAGCTACAGTTTAGGATGCAACAGAAAATCCTCATAGGTCCTTAGTCTCTCCTTCAGAAAGATGTCACTAGCAATGGCAGTGGGATTGAAACTGAGTTGTTCAGAAATCCATGTCAGGCACAATATTCCACGGGTCAGAGCTGGGCACTGTGCTGTGGCTATCAATACCCACTTGTACATCTGGAGTGGCCACGATGGGTACCGCAAAGCTTGGAATATCCAGGTTTGCTGCAAGGATCTTGAGACAGTGAAACCTCCGTCGCCTTCACAGGTGCAGCTGGTTCGTGCCAACACCAATTCCCTGGAAGTGAGCTGGAGCTCTGTCCCATATCTGTTGCAGCTCCAGAAGTATGATATCCCAGCTGCCACCTTGCCAGCTGCCAATCCTGTGCCATCAGTGCCTGTCAACCCCCCCCCCCCAAGAGCCCCGCTCCAGCTGCAGCTGCCCCTGTCCCTACAGTGCAGCCCCTGGCGCAAATGGGCATTACCCTGCTGCCCCAGACTACAGCTGTTGCCTTTGCTACTGGTGTCGTAGTTGCTGCTGCTGCCGCCCCACCTAACACAACCACCATGCAGGTGCTGCCTACTATGTCTAGCAACCCAATGCCTGTGCCTGCTGCCACTGCAGCCGTTGCCACTCCTCATCCTCAAGCTGTCCCAGCTGTGCTGAAGGTGACAGGCCCATGCGAGGCAGACAGAGTTCAGAAAGAAAAGAAATCCTATTAACACTTTATTGCGGAAACAAACAAACAAACAAAAGACAGCGTGTAAAATGGGGAGAAATAGGCACACATTCACACCATAGGTTGAAAGCAAAGAGACCACTTTCAACAGCCATGGTTTCCCTCAAGGAAGTCAGGGAGCTGCAGTTTGCTGAGGGTGATGTTGTTAGGAGGTACCTATTCCCCTCACAGAGCTATGGTTCTCATAAACAGTTTGACAGTTAGCCCCTCTTTCCAGGGAATTCTGGGAATTGTTTCTCTGAGAGAGGAATATGGGCCCTCCTCACAACTCTCAGTACCCTTAACAAATGACAATCCCCAGGATTCTTTGAAGAAAACCACAATTATTTACAGTGGCACTATTTACAGTACGTATGGTGTCAATGTGTGTGGGGGACGTGGGTGGTGCTGTGGTCTAAACCGCTGAGCCTCTTTGGCTTGCAGATCAGAAGGACAGCGGTTCAAATCCCTGTAATGGGGTGAGCTCCCGTTGCTCGGTCCCAGCTCCTGCCAACCTAGCAGTTCGAAAACACGCTAAAAAAAGTGCAAGTAGATAAATAGGTACCACTCCGGCAGGAAGGTAAACAATGTTTCTGTCCACTGTTCTGGTTTCGGTGTTCCGTTGCACCAGAGGTGGCTTAGTCCTGCTGGTCACATGACCTGGAAAAACTGTCTGGGGCAAACGCCAGCTCCCTTGGTCTGTATAGTGAGGTGAGCGCCGCAACGCTAAAGTCGTCTGCGACTGGACTTAACTGTCAGGGGTCCTTTACCTTTACCCTTATGGTGTCAATGTGGCTAAAGAGGATGCTGACGCCGAGAGTTAGCACTGAATTTCACCCAATATGTGACATTTTCAAGTGACTTTGGAGGTCCTGTTTGAGGAGAAATACAACAGTTAGATAAAACAATAGTGGAATGATCCAGGAGCTTCCCAAGATCCTGACAACTGAAGCTGCCTGAAAACATGTGGAAGCCCCCTCAGATAGCTTCATTTGTGCTTCCCTCCCATCTCCTTCTGGCAGGAGAGGGTTTTAGTGCCAGATAACTTACTTGGCGGCTTCACTGCCATCCCATCATCCAGTAGGCGAGGGCCCAGGTAGAAATGCTGCCATTAACCTGCTATGCTGGGTGTGTGTACCCCAGTGCTCTGAGATATCACGCACCATGCCTCTCGCTTCTAGTGATGTGCAAGTAATTCCAATTAATGGTAATGGGAGTTCTGTGAACATTCAGAGCAATGATACGGCCCTTAAACTCCTGGTACAACAACCTTCATTGTCTATGCTTCTGAAATTTGCATAAGCAATTAACATCTCATTAATGCCTCATTAGGAACGCTCTGGCATGTGTGTAAGAGAAAAGGGAGGGCCAAGACCAGCGAGCTGATCTCTCCCCGGGAACTACAGCGGGTCACACGAGTAAATTGTTGGCTTGATTTTGGCTGGTGATTCAAACACACACACACACAGATCACACACACAAAGACACAGAGAGAGAGAGACGTAGGCACAAGATGCAAATGTGGATGCCTTTGCCTGCCTCTGTTCCAAACGAGGTCTCAGCTTGGAATTGTATGGAAAGTTTCCAGTTGAGAACGAGATATCTTGGCAAGGCTACTTGCGTATAGCACCTGCCCATAATCAGAAGCCTGGCTCCAGCCTCTCTGCTGTCCTGGGGAAAAAAGAATTAACAGAACACATATTTAACGCTAAACATATGTGCAGCCTTCGTTCTAAGGTAGGTTTAAGTGCAAACGTTAATGCTTTCCTGGATCAGGGCCATTGGCCGGCCTTCGTTTTCCATGTTTGCAGGTTTCTGCATGTATGCATTACCTACTAAACTCCTGTATATTTTGCACACAGAGACACAAACAGACATTTCTCAAAGCCTGAATGAAAATAAGTCCATTCGCTGCCTTCAAAAATGCAGCTGTGCCCTCCCCCACTCACCAATAACTTGGCCAGGAGGGGGTTGGGTGGGGGAACCCAACCCATGCCAAGGAATGGGAAGCTTGACTCACATCTGTAGGAATGCAAAGTAGCTGGAAAGTTGGAAATTGCAACTCTCCCTTCTTGAATTCCTTGGTGTGGATTGGATGGGGGATGGATGCAGGCACAACTGAATTGAGCTACCAAGTCTCCATTGGTTGGACTGCTGCCAGAGAGGAGAAATTTGATCGTTTTGCATTTAAAGGTGAATCTATCTAATCTGCTTCCCAAAACAATAAGCAAACAGAGACACAGCCCTCCTCTGCCATTCGTACTTCTCTGAATTTTGCAGTGCAGTTCTCCTCTCTACTAATATTTCTCTGTTAATATTATTCATATGTGTGTTTTGATCTCTTAAGGCTTAAATTCAGGATAAATGAAGATGCATACAGATAGGTAATGAAAATAAGAAGAAGGGAACCTGTGTGAGAGGCAGGTCAGAGTGGCTTTTCTCAGGGTGTACAACTAAAGGAGAGGGATGCTCTCCCAGGTGAGATCTGGGAGGATTCACTTCTCTGTATGTGGATCGGAAATTAAGATAGAAGGGAGGGCTATATAAACACAACTTTGTACAGTGGTGCCTCGCAAGACGAAATTAATCTGTTCCGCGAGTATCTTCGTCTAGCGGTTTTTTCGTCTTGCGAAGCAACCCTATTAGCGGCTTAGCGGATTAGCGCTATTAGCGGTTTAGCGGCTATTAAAGGCTTAGTGGCTTAGCGGATTAGCTGCTAAAAGGCTATTAAAGGCTTAGCGGCTTAGAAAAAAGGGGGGGAGCGGGAAAAAAACCTCAAGACTCGCAAGACATTTTCGTCTTGCGAAGCAAGCCCATAGGGAAATTCGTCCTGCGAAGCGCATTGAAAACGGAAAACCCTTTCATCTAGCGGGTTTTCCGTCTTGTGAGGCATTCGTCTTGCGGGGCACCACTGTACCTTATTATATTATTTTACCTCTCTTCTTCTTTTTCCATTTCTCTATTTTTTTCCTCTTTCCTTTATTGTTCTTCTGTTTATGTATTGACTAGTTGGGTTTTTATTGTATCATATGTAAAAAACTCTTCATAAAATTGATATAAACATTTCTGCAGTACAGTTCCCTAGCTGAGCAATGCATGCAAAAATGCATACATTGCTGAAAATAAAATATGAAAGTGCATTGCATTCGGTGCAAACAGGCCAAAATATGTATATTAAACCAGATGTGGATATTAGGCAATGTGTGTATATTAGCAAAAATGTATCTATTAGGAGAGAGTCACATTTAAATACTCATTAATTTCTTGAGGACCTCTTTAAGGAATGCAAACTGATGTAGAAATGTGAATAATTGAACTCAAGAGTGGAAAAATGAACTGAGAGAAACTGAAACTGAAAGATTTGCCCCTCTCCAGTTGCTGAATATTTGGGTCGGAACAAAAACCATCCTCATAAAGTGCTTGTTGATACGGATTGCAGAACAGATGGACACACATACATATGCATATGACAAGGAAGTGGCTGTAACAGTAATTGGGATTTGTGTCATTGGCATAGATTTATCCAACAGTGGAAAGAAATTGAAATAATACAAGTACGATTTTTTTAAAAAGTCATAACATTCCCTGCATGAATTTCTCATTAAAATGCCCCAAATGCCAATGTGTGTTTAGGCTAAGCTCTTCTTTTCAATGGAAGAATGGAGCAATAACATGCCTCTTCGATTATCACAATAGCCACACTATTTATGAGACAGAAATAGTGTATTTGTGTATTAGGGTAGATAGCTAATGCAGGAACTTTGTCTGAAGCAAATGAGGCCTATTGTACTGAGGGAAAGTTAGTTCCTGCTTAATGAGGTACTGACTTTCACATTAGGAAACTTGGAAGTGTGCTGATCTGGACATGAGATGGGTGAATTTGAGGACCACACCAATTGTTGCATGCTCTTGGAATGAAAGTTTTTGACAGCCCCTTCTTCCTCACCTGATCTCTCATCCTGCTTGCTGCTCAGCCTGAAAACTACAGTTATTCTACCTGATCAAAGAAAGACCTCCAGGAATAGGGGATATAATGGGAAATAATGGAATGTGTAGCTTCACCCTCCATATATGTAGGATTGCAGCCCGAGTCCCTCAGCTCTCTTAATCCTACTAACCAAATTCTCATTCTAGGAAGTCAGAATATACAATGAGAGATACAGTCAGAATTGTATTATTAGTATTATTGAATATGGTGAAATGTATAACAGGATAGAAGCTGACATTTCAGAGGAGAGACAGGTTGCAAATGGGAAAATATAATTATTCAATTTTCATGACATTTCGGAAAGGGAAATGTACCATTCTAGCACATTCCACAGCTTTTCTCAGCTATTATTATGATTTGGAGCACATGCCATTTCTTTTGGTTGTGTATGTGTGTTTGTGTGAGAGAGGAACAGCTGCCGAATGGAACGCGGCTGCTCCAAAACCCTCCCAAGAGGATTGGATAACAAGTTGTACATTTACTTGCCGGCATTGTTTTTATTTCATTATCTGCAGCAGAAGAGGCAGTCCTGCTATTTATAATCGTGCTACGCTGCCGCATGTGTGATTATTCCAGCCCTCATGTGTGAGGGAGCACGTGTGTGTGAGGGAAATTAGCAGTCTGCGTCTGAGGGAACTTCTTTAACAGCTAAGGCCTCAAACAGCTCAGGGGCAAGTGACCTAAGAAAGACTACCCTTACCCCTTACATATTCAGCAGACCCTCCAAGTGTCCCTATTTTCCAGGGACAGTCCCAGATTTACAAAAGCTGTCCCAGTTTCTGATTTGATCCTGGAATGTCCCGTTTTCCTTAGGATGACCCAATTTTCATCAGAGAAGGTATGGAATTGGAAGGTATGGAATTATGTGACCATCAAGCCAGGGGGATAAGTAAATAAACAACCTTTAGAGGACACATGAAAGCAGTGCTGTATAGAAAAGTTTTTTAATGTCCAATGTTTTATATGTATGTTGGAAGCTGCCCAGAGTGGCTGGGGTGACCCAGTCAGATGGGTGG